ATCTGTGATCCATTTTGACTTGAGTTTGGTGCCTGGTGATAGACTTGGATGTATTTTCAGTCTTTGGCAGGTGATAAGCCACTTTTTCCAGTACCATTTATTAAAGAGGCTATCGTTCTTCCAGTGAGTTTGTTTGGCCCTTTTATCAAAGATGAGGTGGCTGAGTGTGTTTGTGATTGTGGCTGTTCCTTCCAGTCTGTTCCATTGATCCTCAGGTGTGTTTTTTAGCCAGTACCAGGTTGATTTTATTAAAGTAGCTTTGTAGTATAATTTCAGGTCAGGGATTGTAATTCCACCTGACTTGTCCTTGTTGTCCAGGATTGTTTTTACTATTCTGGGTGTCTTCTGGTTCCAGATGAATTTATGGCATGTTTTCTCGAGATCTGTGAGGTATACTAATTGTAGTTTAATTGGAATTGCATTGAATCTGTCCAATAATTTTGTGAGTATGGCCATTTCCACAATGTTGGTTCTTCCTATCCATGAGCAAGGAATATTTTTCCATTTATTGAAATCTTCTTCGATCTCTTCAGAGTACTGTAGTTTTCATTGAGTAGATCTTTTACTTCTTTTGTTAGATTGATTTTTAGATATTTTAATTTTTTGAATGCTATTGTGAAAGGTATGTCTTCCTTACCTTCTCTCTCAGTCTGTTTGTTGTTTGTGTATAGGAATGCTATTGATTTTTAGTTGTTGACTTTTCATCCAGCTACACTGCTGAATTTGTTGGTTAATTCAAGGAGTCTTCTTGTGGAGTTTTTGGGGTCTTCCATGTAAAGTATTATGTCATCTGCAAATAGTGGTAGTTTTACTTCTTCTTTTCATATCCTTATTCCTTCAGTCTCTCTCTTGTCTAATTGCTCTGGCTAATGGTTCCAGAACTATATTGAACAGGAGTGGTTACAGCGGACATCTTTGTCTTGTTCCTGATTTTAAAGTAAAGTCTTTCAGTTTTTGTCCATTTAGAATGATGTTGGCTGTTGGATTGTCATAGAGGACTTTGATCAGAGTGAGGTAAAAGCCATCTATTCCTATTTTCTCTAGAGTTTTTATCATGAATGCATGTTGGACCTTGTCAAGAGCTTTTTCTGCACTATTGAGATAATCATGTGGTTTTGGTCTTTGACTCTACTGATATGGCATATAACACTTACAGATTTGTGAATATTGAACCATCCCTGCATTCCTGGCATGAATCTGACATGATGTATGTTTTTCTTGATGATTTGCTGCATTCTATTTGCTAGTATTTTATTGACTATCTTTGCATCTATATTCATTCAGGAGATTGGTCTATAGTTCTCTTTCTTGGTTGGGTCTTTCTCTGGTTTTGGTATCAGTATGATGCTTGCCTCCAGAAATGAGTTAGGGAGAATTACTTCCTTTTCAATTTCAATGAAGAGTTTGAGGAGTGTTGATATTAAATCTTCTCTGAATTTCTTATAAAATTCTGCTGTGAATCCATCAGGGCCTGGGCTTTTCTTTGTCAGTAAGTTTTTAATCACATTTTCAATCTCATTGATTGATATTGAGTTGTTCAGGATTTTTATATCTTCTTGCCTCAACCTTGGTAATGCATACATATCTAGGAATCTGTCCATTTCTTCTGATTTTTCTATCCTATAGGTGTAAAGATTTTTAAAGTAGGTATTAAAGATCTTCTGAATTTCTATAGAATCTGTAGTGATTTCATCTTTTCATTCCTTACTGCCTGAATTTGAGTTCTTTCCTTCCTTTTTTTGATAAGGTTGGCTAGGGGTTTATAAATTTTATTTACTCTTTCAAAGAATCAAGTCTTTGATTCATTTATTTTTTATAGAGTTTTCTTTGTCTCAATTGTATTAATTGCCCTAATCTTTGTAATCTCCTCCCTTCTTTGGTCTTTGGGTTTGACTTGTTCTTCTTTTTCTAAAAGTTTTAGATGCAGCATTAGGCTATTTTTCTGTTCTCTTTCTGTTTTCCTTATGTATGAGTTCACCGCTATAAATTTCCCCATGAGGACTGCTTTCATTGCATCACACAGATTCTGGTAAGTTGTATTTACATTTTCATTTGTTTGTAGGTATTTTTAAATTTCTTCTGTGACCCAGTGATTGTTCAGGAGATTTTTGTTTAATTTCCAAGTGTTTATGGCATTTTTGGAGTTCCTTTGTCATTAATTTCCAATTTCTTTGCACTGTGGTCAGGTAATATGTATGGGATAATTTCACTTCTTTTGCATTTAGGTAGGTACGCTCTATGGTCTAGAATGTGATCTATTTTAGAGAAAGTCTCATGTGCAGCTGAGAAAAATGTGTATTCTGATGTGGGGTGGAACATTGTATATTCATCTACTAAGTCCATTTGTTCACAGCCTTGGTTCCGATGTGTTATTTCCTTGCTGATTTTTTTTTAGTTGACCTATCTCTTTGCGTCAGTGGGGTGTTGAGGTCCCCTGTTACATTAGTGTTATTAATTATATGGGTTTTCATGTCTGGTAAGATTTGTCTTATGTAGTTTGGTGCTCCGATACTTGGTGCATACATCTTTATCGTTGTTACATCACCCTCTTGCAGTTTTCCCCTGAGTAGTATATAGTGACCTTTATCCCTTTTGATTGGTGTCGGTTTGGAGTTTACATTGTCTTCAAACAGTATAACTACACCTGCTTTTTCCTGGGTACCTGTTGCAAGGAGGATTGTTTTCCATCCTTTAACTTTTCATCTATGGATTTCCTTTTGAGTAAAATGTGTTTCCTATATAGAGCATATTGTGGGGTTTGGTTTCTTAATCCACTGTGCCAGTCTCTTCCTTTTGACTTGTGAATTGAGGCCATTTACATTTATGGTTATAAGTGATATGTGTTGACTTACCATTATCATGTTATTTACTTGCTACTGGTTTCCTATTTTTTCTACCCATTTAATTGCCTGCTTTTCTTGGTGGTTCCTTTCCATTGTTGTTCTTGAAATTGTGGTCATATTTTTCTCTGTGTAGAATAGCTTTTAGTACTCTTCACAATGATGGTTTTGCATTCATGAAGGTGTTCAGTCGTTCTTTGTTATGGAAATATTTTATTTCTCCGTTGAATTTGAAGGAAAGTTTGGCAGGGTACATCAGTCTTGATTGGATGCTGTTTTATCTCAGGACCTGTAACACTTCACTCCAAGCTCTTCTCAGTTGAATGGTTTGTGTTGAGAAATCTGCTGTGATTCTGATGGGCTTTCCTTTATAGGTAATCTGTTTCTTTTCTCTAGCAGCTTTTAATATTTTGTTCTTTTGCTGGATATCTGGGATCTTGACTAGCATATGTCTGGGTGTAATTTTATTTTGGTTTTGGTTAGTTGGTGTTCTATATGCCTCATTTTCCTGTATGTCAGGTTCTGTTTCTATGCTTGGAAAATTTCCTACTTTTATTTCTGTAAATATTGTTTTTATGTTGTTCGTGTTGCCTCCTGCTGTTTCATTGACTCCTATAAGTCGTACATTATTCCTCTTTGCCTCATCTTGAGGCTATTGACTTGATTTTTTTTGATTCCTTGTTGATTTTAAGAAATTCTTTCTTTCACGATCATTAGCTGCCATGCTGTCTTCAAAATCTGAAATTCTATCTTTGGCTTCATTTAAGCAGTTTGGGCAGCTTTCAGTGGAAGTTTTGATGTCCTGGATATCTCTGAATCTGCTTCATGCGTTCTAATTCATTTCTATATTTTTCATTTAATGTTTCTGTCCATTGCCTATGTTCATCTATTTTTTGTATGTTCTTTTGATGTGCTGAGCAGTTCTTTCATTATTATTGTCATTTCAGTTTTTGCCTGAGAGATTATTTCTGATCTGATCTCTTCTGTGGCCTGATGGAGTTCTTCTTCACTTCCATGCAGTCATTTCAGCAATTTCAGGAGTGTGTTTACCAAGTTCTCCTATGTTGATGTCCCTTGGACTTGGTCTGAGACGGGTGGAGTTTTGAGATTGGATTTTAGTCCTTCATCTTTCATGTTGGATGTTGGTGGTAAACACTCAGTCCCTTTCCTTCCTGTCAGCCCAGCAAAGGTCACTAACCTCCCTAATTTTCCTGGTCATCAAACTTGCCCCTCAGTGGCTGCTGGGGTGTGTTGCTTAGTCTGGGTTCTTCCAGCAGATGGTGAAGTTTACCTAGCTCACACGCCAATCATGATGTCATCAGGTCACAGATAATCTGATCCAGTGCCCCTATCATACCCTACGAGTATGAACCAGAGTGGTCTGCACTGGTGGAATGATCACAGACCAGTTGGTCCTGTGACTCCAGGGAGTTCAGGGTGAAGGTATAGCCTAGATATGGACTGCAAGGTCTGCAGTTCGTGAACTGCCTGATTCTGTGTCTGCAAGCCTTTCATCACAAGCACAGGAGCCAGAGGTGGGCTGTGCTGGCAGTGATTACAGATTGCATGTGTTAGTGGGTTTGCGCATCCCTTGAGACAGTCTCCTGTGTGTCCTGGGTGCGTGGAGGGTGGAGACACAGACTGCAATGGCGGCCACCTTCTGGGATGCCTGCTCTGTTCCTGAGAAGTTGATGGGGGCGCTACCTGTTTCTCACAGCATTGAGCTGTGAACTGTGGTGTGAGCATATCACGGACCCCCTGATTCTGTGCCTGCTGGCCGCTCTGCCACTCACGGCATGCACAGTACTCACACATGGGCTGTGCTGGCAGAGATCAGGAACTGCCTGCTTCTGCGCTCCCACCCAGACATGAACCCTGGAACCCAGATGCGAATTGCAGCTTCAGCAGTTTCCTGGGCTGTCTGCTCTGGGGCTTCATGTGTCTCTGGGCACATGTGCGGGTGCCTCTCACAAACCCCAGTGTTAGTGGGCTTGTGGGTCCCTTGAGAGTCTCCTGTATGTCCCAGGTGCACAGAGGGTGGAGACCTTGAAATGTTTTTCAAAGTAGTATCTTCTAGATTTCAATAGTGTCTGTTGTGATTTCTGTTTTTTCACTTTTAATTGCATTGATATGAGTCTTTTCTCTTTTCCTTTTGGTAAGTCTCGCTAAGGACTTATCTATTTTGTTTATTCTGAGAACTAGCTCTTAGACTTGTGATATTTTGTCAATGTTTAGTCCCTATTTCATTGATTTAATCTTTATATTTTCTATGCGTATTTTTGCTTTTGTCCTATATTGCTATTCCTCAAGTATCTTCAGATTTCTCATAAGGATATGTAGTTGAACTTGCTCTGTTTTCTTAATATGAGTATTGATTGCAGTGACTATCCCTCTCAGGACTGTTTCCTAATGGCCCAAAGTGTACAGTGACTTGTATAGGCATTGCCTTTTACTTCCAAGAATGTTTACATTTCTACCTTGAATTTTTGTATAACCTATTGATTGTTTAGGAATATGTGATTAATGTTCCAGGTTCTTCTATCTTTTCTGTGATTTGTTCTGTCTTTGATTTCTATTTTCATTCTACAGTGTTCTAATGGTACATGTAGGGTGATTTTGTTTCATTTATTTGAGCAGGATTGGTGGACTAGTGTGTGTTCTATTTTGGAAACAGTACTATGTGCTTTGTGGGGTGGAATATACTGTAAATATCTATTAAGTGCGTATGGCCTAAGTGTGGTTCATCTCTGACATTTCTTAATGATTGTATATTAGTTTATCTTTTATATTCAGCAGTATGTTTTATGAAGATTTGTGCTCCAGTACTCAATGCATATTTATAAACATTATTGTTCTTGTTGCACTATTTTCTTAACTAGTATGTAGTGACTAGTTAAGAAAATACTTAACTAGTATGTAGTGACTTTTTCTTTTGTAATCGGCTTTAGCTTGGAGTTTACATTGTCTAAGATTAAAATTGCTAACCTTGCTTGTTTTAGGGGGCATAGTGCCTGAAATATCTTTTTTCATTCTTCAATTTTTAGTCTATACATGTTGTTTTGCATTAGATGATTTTTTTCAATACAATACACTGCCGGATTGTGTTTTCTATTCTTTTTTGGGGGAGGTTTGTACTGGGAATTGAACTCAGGACCTTGCACTTGCCAGGCAGGCACTGTGCCACTGAGCTACATCCCCAGCCTTGGATTGTGTTTTTCGGGGTTTTTGTTGTTGTATTTTCTCGTACCAGGAATCGAACTTACAGCCTCACGCCTGCCAGGCAGGCGCTGTGGCACTGAGCTAAATCCCCAGCCCCTGGATTGTGTTTTTTTGGATGCAATCTGCTAATCTGTCTTTTAATTGGAGAGTGGAGACCATTAATACTAGAATTATTACTGAGATATGTTGGTTAATTACTATCATCATATTCTTTCTCTGTCAGTGACTCCTTTTTTGTTATTCTTTTTCATTCACTTTTGTTGTTTTTTATTAATTGATCTTCCTTGTTGTTTTCATTTCATCTGAACTTTTAGCTATACAGACAGTACTCATTTAACAACAAAGTTGTGGTCCTATGAGTAGTTCATTAAATAAATTTGTCACTAAATGTGGAATTGTATAGAATGCGTACATTATAATATTCAAAACAGAGAAATGTTCAAAGGAAACTCCAAATTGGTGACTTTCCTTTTACTTGCATAACACTTACATAGAGTACTACTGTATATTACAGAATATAGAAAAAGTATACCATACAGAGAAAACACAGTGAGGCTCTATCAATAGGTGCAGGAATGTACCAAAAAGATGAATCATATGTCTGAGTGGTGGCTCAGAAGTCAGAAATGTGACTCTGTTGTAAATCCAAAAACTCATTAAGCCAGGTGGGTAATTAAACAAAGAATATCTGTATTGGCTTCAGTATTTCTGCCTGGGATATTCTTGCATATTTTCTAAAGTCATTCATATATCTCTTGAGCTGGTCTTTTTCATGAAATGCCCATATTTTTCCATCTATTTTGAAAGAGAGCTTTGCTGGGTCAGTTGAACTAGATTGGAAGTTATTCATTTTGAAGGCATGAAACATCACTCCAAGCTTTTGGGGCCTTTAAGGTTTGTGTTAAGAAGTTTGTTGTGATTGTAATTGGTTTGTCTTTATAGGTGATTTTTTTTTTTTTTTAAATCTCTGCTTTAAATTTTTGTTGTGATCTTTTTGGGCTATCTGGCAATGCAAAAAGTATATGCCTCAATGAGATTTTTTTTCATCATAGATTTTTGGTGTTCTCTAAGCCTCACTTCTATTTTTAACTTTTCTCATGTAAGAATTTTTCTACTATGGTTTCTATAAACATATTAATAATTTCATCTCTGTTATCTTCTAGTTTTCATGTTTTTCCAATTAGCTTTAGGTTGCTCTTCTTAGTGTTTTCCATTTCCTGCTTGGTGGCCTTCTTGTCCCTTTTTTGTGGTCTTTTTGAGTACTTCTGCAAAAGTTACCATTGCCCCTCAATTTCAGACTGAATAGTCAGTGTGGGGCACCCCGTGGGCTGTCCATATGAGCCATGGTGTATGGCTGGGAGGGGACACTCAGGCTCATCATCCTCCCTGGGTGAGGTGCATCACCCTAGCCTGTGGCTAGGAGCATGGCTTTCAGTTGGCTTTTCCATCCCCACATTTTCCTTTCTACACCGTAAAATGTTTATATTTCTGTGACTGATAAGTATTTCATGCCAGTGAGCTATAAGATAATATGTCTTCCTTAATCTAATTTCATAGTTAGACTTTTTCCAGTGAATACTGCAATACTTTCCATTAGTATTTTAAATTATCATTCATGAATTGTACTTTGTTTTTAATTACTTTTGTCTGTGGAGCCAGTGTCAAGTTTCAGAATGCTGTCTAAAGACAATCAGAGCAGGAAGGGATCTATTTCCTAAATAATGAGTTGAAAATAGATATATTTTCAGTCTTCTGTGATGGAAAGTCATTAGATATTCATCTACCCCAGTTCTTTTTACCCCTCGTCTGATCAAGTGGGCTCCTTCCCTGAAACATGCTTTCCATACAGAGTAGAAATAAAAGGATTAAATAGCAGGAGAACCGGTATTTCTGTTTTGGTGTTTCTTTAGCAGTGTATTAACATCTGACATCAAAATTCCTGTGTGACAAGTGTATGTGGATACAGACTAAGTGTTTGATGACCAAGGCAGGAACTAAACATTTATGGGACACAGCCTCATTTCAGCTTTTATGAATAGGTTTGAAATATTGTGTTATGAGTCTCACTCTTCTTCTGGGAAATATATTTCTGATTGTTTAGAAGGCAGTGACATTTGAGGATGTGGCTGTGAACTTCACCATGGAGGAGTGGGCTTTGTTGGATCCACCCCAGAAGAAGCTCTACAGAGATGTGATGTGGGAAAACTTTAGGAATGTGACTGCTATAGGTAAGGAAGCTATTACTTCTCATTTATGTAGTCAAAGAGCATTGGTTATTATTCATTACTGCAGTTCACCTTTTTGCAATATGGAAATATTTTTGTGAATCTTCTGGACATGGTCAAGTTAGACCATGAATGTAATCTTTTTCTTTGGGGGGCTGAGAATCAAACTCAGGACGTTGTGCTTGCTAGGTGGGCACTTGTGCCACTGAGCTATATCCCCAGCCCTAGCTCATGAACCTAAATAGAAGCTATAATTTTTATATAGTATAGTAACATCATTATGTTTCTTTTTCTATACTTTAGGAGAAAACTGGGATGACCAGCAAATTGAAGATGAGTATAAAAATTACAGGAAAATTCAAAGGTAATTTGTGTTCACAAGAATGTTTATCAAATGTCAGAAATATTAAAAATAAGCAAACAATACAAACAAGGCCATATTCAAAAAATATATGATAAGCCAAGCAAGGTGGTGTATGCCTGTAATACCATCACTTTGGTGACTGATGCAGGAAGATTGCCAGGAATTCAAGGCAAGTCTGAGCTTTATATTGAGTCTGAGGCTGGCCTGACCTGCATAAGGAGAACCTGTTTTAGAAATCAATCAAACAAATAAAGTAAATAAGGCCATTGTTCAAAATTCTTTAATCCCACAAAATTACTCCAAAGATGCATACATATTTACTATCTAGAATGTAACAATTAAATATTTAAAATAATTCAATATTGGAAATGTAGGGATTATAGATATTACATCACAAGTGATATTATCTAAAGCATAATAATCAACAAATTAGTTTCTGTGCTCAAATTATAAAACTTCTATAAAATTTTATTTATACATTGACTATAGGTACATATAAAAATTATGTTTAGTTGAGAGCTAAATGCAGGATATCTAGTTACATATACATATAATATCAAAAGACTGATTTCTTATCTAATTGTGTAAATAATGCTATATGGACTTAAATGTAGTATAAACATTGAGTTTTTGCAACATTGGTAACCTTGAGGAACTATTTAAAATCTAAATAAATACCCATGTTATATAAGAGCTATTTTCAAGCAATCTTTAAAACCATTTAGTCTATTTATTCCAAAACACCTTAGTAGGAGGTACTTCCCCAAAATGTTGGTAAGAATGTCATTGTATTATGACATCTATGGAAACATGTATAGAAGTTCCCCAAGAAACTAAAAATAGAAATTCCTTCTTATCTCACTGTACTTCTACTGGCTGTATTCCCCCAAACGTAAAGTAAGCGTATTACACTGACAAACCCATTTGTTTGTAGCAATAAAACTTACAGAAGTGAAGCCTGTAAACAGCCTAGATACCCAGTCACAGATGAGTAGAAAGGAAAAATGGGATAGCCTGGGCAAGATGGAGTACACTGGGAAGCTGAGGCACATTTATGCTCATCCTGGGCAACTTAATGACTGATAAGATTCAGTTACATAATAAAAGATAAATAACTGAGAATGTAGCTCAGTGACAAACTCCTGGATTCAGTCTCCAGCACTGTTAACCGTGTGGTGTATGTATATAATGAAATGTTATTCAGCCATAAAGGGGGATCAGATGATGTCATTTGTCAAAAAATGCATTGTTCTTGAGCTCATGTTGTATTAAATAAGATAAACTCAGAAAATTCAGTATCATGTGTTGAATTTTGTATGAGAAATGGATGATGTGAATTGAGAAGTAAAAAAACTGGAGAAATGGTATAAAAGAGGGAGGCAGACATTTTGGAGAGAATAAAGATGCTTAGAGAGAGGGGAAAGAGAAGAGTTCTGGAGGAAAAGGACATGAAAAATAATGGATGTATTATATGACTATGTACCACTTGTTCAAAATAAAAGTAACCATTATATACTGCAAATATATCACTTCTAAACCCCAAATGAATACTGTTTTGGTAAAAGCTGGTTCTAAGGCATCATTTAGATGTACAGTAAATTCATGATCAAATATGGTTAGAAGGCGTCCAATCAGATTTCCTCCAGGTAAAACATTTATATAAAGACACTTTTCAATTTGGTTGTTTTGTTATTTTTTTCTTTGACAGAAATGCAGAGGTAGATGAATGCTATCAATGTAAATTATGGTATCAACGTGCAGAGATACTTTTTATGGCTCCTGACACAAATGTGCACATGAAACTGCTTGGTACAAAGCCAGGTGAAAGCCTTGCATGTGGAAAGCCACTGGTTGGTCATTCATCACCAACCATGCCCATCATGCATAACACTGGCTTCAATTCATATGAGCTTCATGGATTTGAAAAGAAGCTATCTACCTGTAGTAGACATGGGAAAATCTCCATGGACTTGCAGTCTTTTCAGAAACATGCAAAGACAAATTCTGAAGAAAAACCACATGGATATAAGAAATGTGGAAAATCCTACTCTGATTACAGTGAAGGAAATAATGATAAAGAGAAATCCTTTGTCTATAATCAAGAGGTGAGAGCCTTCAGTACACCTAACTATGTTCAAATCCAGGACAGAAATCATGGTAGGGTGAACACTTGTGTATGTATACAATGTTGTAAAGGTTTGAATTCTCACCATGATATTCAGAAACATGAAAGAACTCACACTGGATCAAAATCCTATGTATATCAATACTGTTGGAAATCCTTAAATAATAGCACATCATTAGGTAATCATGAAATAACTCACACTGGGGGACAACCCTGTGTATGTAAGCAATGTGGGAAAGATTTCTGCATACAGAATCCTTGTCAAAGTCATGAACAAACTCACACTGGGGAGAAACCCTATGTATGCAAGCAATGTGGAAAAGCTTTCAGAACACACAGTGTATGTAAAACACATGAAAGAATTCACACTGGGGAGAAACCCTATGTCTGTAAGCAATGTAGGAAAGCTTTTGGCACACAAAGTCATTGCCAGAGACATGAACTAACTCACAGTGGGGAGAAACCATATGTATGTAAGCAGTGTGGGAAAGCTTTTGGCACACAGAGTCATTGTCAGAGACATGAACTAACTCATACTGGGGAGAAACCCTATGTATGTAACCAATGTGGGAAAGCTTTCAGTACACACAGTGTATGTAAAATACATGAAAGAATTCACACTGGTGAGAAACCCTATATATGTAAGCAATGTGGGAAAGCTTTCAGGACACAGAGTCTTTATAAAATACATGAACGAACTCACACTGGGGAGAAACCCTATGTATGTAAGCAATGTGGGAAAGGTTTCAGCAGGCGCAGTCAATGTAAAATACATGAAAGAATTCACACTGGGGAGAAACCCTATGTATGTAAGCAATGTGGGAAAGTTTTCACCACACACAGATGTTGTCAAGAACATAAAAGGACTCATACTGGGGAGAAACCCTACATATGTAAGCAATGTGGCAAAGCTTTCAGCAAACATGATTCTTATCAAAGACATGAAAGGACCCACACTGGGGAGAAACCCTATGTATGTAACCAATGTGGGAAGGCTTTCAGCACACGTAGTGTATATAAAATACATGAAAGGACTCACACTGGGGAGAAACCCTATGTATGTAACCAATGTGGGAAAGCTTTCAGCAGGCACAGTCAATGTAAAATACATGAAAGAATTCACACTGGGGAGAAACCTTATGCATGTAAACAATGTGGGAAAGCTTTCAGTACGTATGGTAATTGTCAAAAACATGAAAGGTCTCACACTTGGGAGAAACCCTACAAATGTAAGCAATGTGGGAAAGCTTTCAGCACACACAGTTACTGTCAAAGACATGAACGAACTCATACTGGGGATAAACCCTATGTATGTAAGCAATGTGGGAAAGCTTTCATTACACAGAATCATTGTCAGAGACATGAACTAACTCACAGTGGGGAAAAACCCTATGTATGTAAACAATGTAGGAAAGCTTTCAGCACACACAGTTCTTGTCAAAGACATGAAAGGACCCACACTGGGGAGAAGCCCTATGTATGTAACCAATGTGGTAAATCTTTTGGCACACACAGTGTATGTAAAATACATGAAAGAACTCACACTGGGGAGAAACCCTATGTATGTAAGCAATGTGGGAAAGGTTTCAGCAGGCAGAGTCAATGTAAAATACATGAAAGAATTCACACTGGGGAGAAACCCTATGTATGTAAGCAATGTGGGAAAGCATTCACCACACACAGATATTGTCAAGAACATGAAAGGACTCATACTTGTGAGAAACCCTACTTATGTAAACAGTGTGGGAAATCTTTCAGCACACACAGTTATTGTCGAAGACATGAACGAGCTCACACTGGGGAGAAACCTTATGCCTGCAAAAAATGTGGGAAGGCTTTTACCAGACACAGTATTTGTCAAAGACATGAAAGGAATCACACAGTGTAGAGACCTTGTATATGTAAGCAATATGGAAAAGCCATCAGTTACTTTAGTAATCATTATAGACATTAAAATATTGAAGAGAGGAAGTTAACTCTGAATATGTGGTTGCTTGCACTGATGTGAAAGTATGGTACATAGAAGACTTCATGTGCAATATTAAAAAATCTTTTAGTACATAGGTATTATTACATACCTGAAAGAATTCATAGGACAGAGATCTGCATCATATATGAACAATGTGGGAAATGTTTTATTATTCTTAGTACATTCAAGTTTGTGAAAGAATTCACATGAGAGGGAAGCCATACATATGCAATAAATATAGGAATCCATCCCATTTTTCCTCATGCCTTGAAAATCATGAAAGAATCCCCACTGAAGAGAAAGCCTATATAATGTGTGAAAGCCTTCTATGATTCTCATCAGAAAAAAATGTACAAACTGAAAATGAGATTTAGCATAAATACTGAATGTGTGAAAGTTAGGAATTAGAGTGGCAGAGACAGAGAGGTGTGTTAGGAATGACAACTGTTTCAAAGCACACATGCAGAGACAGTGTTCCTCCAATGTATTTATGGATTAATGTACTGATAAGGTTGGAAATTGCATAATAATGTTAAATTCAAAATAACAGCACCTTGCATCCAAGTCTTAAGTACATGGCCTTCAAGGGACATTTTACATGCAAACCACTTGCCTCAGTTGAATGGGAAAGTTAAATTTATTCATAAAATGAAATTTTATGGAGTTTTAAAAGAAAAATCCTTCTTTTATGACAGTGTAGATTAAACAAGAGGTCATTACATGAAATATGCCACACATAGTCAAATTAAATCTTCATCATTTGTTTTTAGCAACAATTGAAAACTTGAAAAAAGCAGAGATTTTAGTGGTGATTGCCATGTGTATGGGTGGGGAAGTTGAGAGACATTATGAGAAAGCACAGTGTTTCTTTGGTAGAGTACAAAATGACCTAGATCCCATAGTGACTACAGTGATTGCTACAGTGCCTCATAGCATTACAGTTTGCTAGAAGTTGTTTTTAGTGTTTTGTTCTTATACCCAAAAGGTAATTGTCTTAGGTGATGCAAATGTTACCCATGAAGAATGTGGTAATTTCACAATATAAACAGCAACAGATTGCTCTGTACACTTTCAGTATATGATTTTTGTTATTTTTTTGTTTAATAAAATGAATACAATTAAGTTTAGCAAAAATAACATGACTGGTTTCATGATGTGTCCACAGAAACTTTCCTTCACTTTTTTAAACAGACAAAAATAAACAATGAAATAGAGTTTCAAAACAGGTTAGCGGGAGAGTTACAATAATTAATACATTATATATTATTGTCTCTGTAGTAGTTATTCAGAGTACAAGATATAGGCGTGATACTATATTTTTTTCTGAAAATATTCAGTTTTATTTGGTCCAAAGCTTGTGGTTTATTGTTAAACTGAAAGTATTCAGTAGTCTAAGTACACTTATAGTTGGTTCATTGGAAATGTAAATAGTTATTTGAGGATATAATTTGGAAAATATTGACATTATCATGAGTTCATTTCAACCCATTTTGATAAATTTTTTATATATCTCCTCAGAAAACTCAACATTTTAAAAGCACTTAAACTTGTTTTTCTGATTTTATAAATCACTTAACTTTGTTTCCAAGGTATATCCATTTTCCTCCCAGTGTCTTGAATATATCCTTCTTTATAGCCATATGATGTTCCATTATGTGTAGATACAGCATTTTCTTCATGCATCTGTTAATGGACATATAGGAAGACACAGAGAAATAGTTCTGTGGCAAATGGGATGGGATCAGGAGGCCAAGAATGGGAAGAAGGGGATGTGAAATGATTTGATGTCATATACCAACTAACCACAAAGAATGCTATCTTTATATGTCACAAACATGAACTAAATAATGATAATAATATTAATAATCATAATGATGAAATGGGGTAAGGAAATCTAGAGCTGCTGGGGGAGTGGTGGATGAGAAGGGAAGAGATATGAGAAGAATCAAAATGTTAAATACATATGCCTGCTCCCTAAGATGAATGGGATCATGTACTTCAAGCATGTCTTAGTTAAAAAGCTTAATATTTAAATACTGACATATTTAGAGATATTTCATACTTTATTGTGCTTCTTAAAGATTTATTGGCAGATATGTTGAAAAATATGTAAAGATGCCTTTGGGGCTGGGAACCAACCAGCATGTTGCAGGATTCTTTAATTTTGAACTCCACATGAACATTTATCTTTGTCGTAGGCTCCAACCAAATGTATTGACACTGCCTAATGTAAGTAGCAATCCATTGCATGCACTTTCATCAGTTAGCCATGGCAATGATTATGTGATTTTGTGAGGGAGAGGAAGTAGGAATACACATGCATCAAGACCTGTACATCTATCAAGTTGCATTAGCAAAGGAAAACGAACATTTTTGCTGTCTGGATCCTGCCATGGCTGTTGGTATACCATACCGCTTGCCAAAACATATTCATAGACCTTGTTTTAGTGCATTGTAGCTGACTATTCCAAAATTCCTTAGGTTTTTTCACTTTATGAAATAATTATTTCTTACAGTTGTGAAACCTAGAAAATCCAGCATCAAGGCACTGGCAACTGAAATATCTAATGTGATATTGTTTACATATGCTGACTTCTACCTCAGTTCTCCCAAGGCAAAGAAGTGAACAAGATGTCTTTGGCCTCTACTTTAGATGCTTTATTATTATTCAGGTTTCTTAACTAATGACACAAATAATTTTCAGACTGCACTTCCACATACCATCACCTTTGGAATGAGGTTTTAAAACATGTATTTTGAGGTACCTAGACATTCAGAACACAGAAACCATTATAAGGTTATATTGTGTGTTGAGTAGTGGATTGCATGATGTTTTATGTGTCGTCCAGCAGACATGCCAATAAAAAATACACACTTAGAAGTATTTTGAGGACAAATTTAAGCAGTCTGTTTCAAATAAATTCAGAAGATACAATGCGATTGTAAATGTCATGAACTGAATTAGGCACAAAATGTTACTAAAGGAAAGACAAGTTTGATCACCACTTATTTTGAGATCCTCAAACTGAATATTAAAAGAAAATGACAGAAAGATTTTTACCAGGCTCATAGCCCATGTTATCAATTCCTGCTGCTTCCCAAGAAGATTAAGCTCTTACAAACATAGCTAAAAATTCTTACAGAGGACAGAAAAAGAATGTTGAAGATGCACTATCTGAGGTCATCAGAGGATCAACATAGAATCTGCAATGTGATGGGGAATTTCAATTTCACAAAAACAGGTCAGTGCAATATATTTCCAAATGCACATCATTTCCCCACTTGCTGCTGCTTTTTAAAAAACGACAGGAGTTTCAGCATTGTCACATATTATTGTTTAACCCAAATACCTGACGTCTATCAAACCAACTCCATTAACTTCTCCACTAATGAGATCTACATTCTCTTGAGTAATATAACCCTATTATTATTTTGCATCTTCCCTTTACCACCTCACAGTTTAGTGTAGTAATGTCTATGCTACTTCTTCCTCTTGCTAATGAAAACATCCCATTAGAGTTTTAAGGGGCATGTTTCACATCTATGGCTTTTCTACATCTTAGAGACCTAATTTGTAATATATTTGCTTAAGGACAGAATTATTTCTTTAGCAAGGATGCCAAAATTTCAAGTCAACATTCAATGCCTTGTAAACATACACTTAGAAAGTGAGTGCATCCAATATGCAAGTCTTGTCCACACATTTTATTTTGAATCTTTCTAAGGATCTTTTAAGGTGCAGTTCTGATTGACTCTGGTTTGATGAACAACCTGAATCTAGAGAATTTTTTAAATGTCTCACTATCTCATAGCTTGGGTTACTGTGGAGAAGCAAAAATGTATGCATATGTTGCAAAATGGTACTTGACCCCTGTAGTGGCCTGTCTGTGCCACCTGAGAGATTTAATTCTTTCATATATTATTCCTTCCTAAAGTTTTTGTGCATTCAACTTCAATATGCTCTCAAGTTCCTACTCAAAATATTGCTTTCTTAACCTGCTGAAATGGGAATAATGGCTTTCTTATTCCAATCAAGAATATGAGTACTTTTATATGTATTTTCCATCCCTGTATCAGAATGTCACTAACTAAAAAGACTCTAAATATAATTGATGTAATATAACTAACTAAAGAGAATCTAAATATAATCTCTACACATTTTAAAATAGGAAATTCCAAGAGTTTGGCCCACAAATGCAGTGTTTCTCTTCTACACCATAAATGAAGGACAGGTAAGCATGTGTGAGATTAAAAAGTAACGGAAAGCTATCCTGATGCTATTTATATGTCATTCTCATGTTGATAATGTCATCGTACTCATCAGAGAAAAGCACTCATATGCTCATCAGATTTTAGAGGACCCTTAGCTCAGTTGTTATCATTACATATTCAGTTTGCAACAGGAATTTTAGGGAACATACTAAATGTCACAAAGGGTTACTGATTCGAAATCTCAGACTTGAGACATTTGCAAACCCACATTACAAGTATGTCTATAGTTAATTTTGAATTTCTACATTAGTATAGACTGAAACCTCAGTTGTTGTCAGTACCCATTTATTGTTTTTTTTCTCAGTCGATTTCATGATAGTGTGATCCAATGAGATTCAATTCTTTGGTATACTTTTTTATTTACTTAAAATAACTTTGTTGTATCACACAAACATATCAAACATCCAAAGCTATAATGACATGGTTGAATGAAAAGAAACAATATGTCTAGGAATCCTCAAAAGGTTTGTACAATGAGTGACTCAGCAGAGCTTTTAATAGATGATGTGCACCTACATGGGAAGTGACTGCAATGCAATATGTGCTTTGATTACTAAGGCATCTTTATGAAGGCCTTGATGGATGTAAGTGCTCTTTGTATAAGAATATTATAGGAAGAGCAATATCATGGAGAACATAATTGCAGAGAAAATGTGTGGATCCAATTCTATGCACATTTAATGTAAACCTCAGTACACTTTTAACTGAAGTATTTGGGTGTAATTCTACTCTCTTCTGCCCTCATTTTGTCTTTCTCTGACCCATGTGCAATGACTCATGAATTGTTCTTCTCTCATCTGATCATTACCTCTATCTCTATTTGTTCTGCAATGGAGAATCTCTTGTGAGTTTATCTCATCATATCCAAAATGTACTTATGCTATTTTGGATCCTATTATGAGATGCCTTTGTCTATGCCCCTCTGCTGTTTGAATTGAAATATTACAAAATAAAGGAAATGTTCTGGCTTATCTCTACCACCTGTGAAGCTCTCTAAGCTCCTTGCCTAGTGAGGGTAGCAGAGTGAAAGTTTGATGGCTGTAGAAAAAGGTGTAGGAATGGAGAATACAGTAGTGGGAAATGGTTTCACTGACAGAAAATTTACAACATGTTTCCTGGCCTCTATGTATACAAATGGCTTGATATCTTCATATACTGAAGGTTTAATAAAGAAAAATTGAGAGATAGAAAAATGTCACTTTCCAAACCCACAAAACTGTCTCCAGGGATATACTAGTGCCCACAGTTAAGAACAGTGTGATACACAGACAGAAATATTCTGAGATATTAGCTGTTATTAAAATCCTCTTTGGAATCTTAAATGTCCAAGGAACTAGACCCTTACATTTGTGAGACAAAGCCAGGTGTGCTATCCTTGAATCAAAACAAGTTCTTCCTTCAGCTTAATGTTATCTATGTTTTCCGACAGAGAAGGCTGGAAAAACTAACAATGCCTTGGTTTTGATGATTATGTATACATTCTCCACTGTGATCAACTAATTAATTCTGTATTACCTGCACATAAAGAAGTTGCTGTGTTTTGAGATTCCAAGATCCAATCTTTTGGTCATTTCCACTTCACTTCTGTCCAAAGCCTTTGATAGTTATTCTGTCTAACATTTATGCAACAGAACCATCGATAAGGGATGAGCTGAAAGAGGCAGTTATTTTGTTAGCCAATAATTTGGAATTCTTGTAAGCTCTTTTCACATATCTGCTGAGATGAGAAAATATAAATGAAGAGTGTTATACCCCCCCCCCAAATGGCAGGGCAGTAGAGACCTGCCTGAAACTTAGGGGGAATGAAGTATACCCCTTTTTCATCCCTACAATCTGGGTTCAAATTACCTAGTGGCATAAACAATTACCTAGGCTTTTACAAGCATAAGAGTGATAATTCTCTCAGACTCTTTATAGTCTACAACAATAGAAAGGAACCCTCAAGCAGAGTAAGCAATTAAACAGGCAAAAAAGGAGGAAACCAACAGCAAGTAAATAACATGGCAATGATAAGCCAATACATATCAGTTATAACAATTAATGGAAATGGCTTCAATTCACCAGTCAAAGGAAACAGACTGGTAGAGTGGATTAAGAAACAAAATCCAATGATGCGCTGTGTACAGGAAATACATTTACTCAAAAGGAAATCCATAGACTGAAAGTCAAAGGATAGAAAACAATTCTCCATGCAACAGGAACCCAGAAATACGCAGGTGTAGTTATTGTGTTTGCAGACAATGTAAATGTCAAATTGAGAACAATTGAAATAGATAAAGAAGGTCACTACATATTTGTTAGGGGAAAACTGCAAGAGGAAGAGATAACAATTGTAAACATGTATTCACCAAGTATCGGAGCACCAAACTATATAACACAAATCTTGACAGACATGAAAACTCATATAATAAATAACACTACTGTAATATGGGACCTAAACACCCTTTTGACTTGAAGAGATATGTAAACTAGACAAAGAATCAGCAAAAAAATAACAGAGCTGAACCAAATCTGTGAACAAATGGGCTTAGTAGATGTATACAGAGTGTTCCACCCCACCACATCAGAATACACATTCTTCTCAGCTGCACATGGGACTTTCTCTAAAATAGACCACATACTAGACCATAGAGCATACCTACCTAAATGCAAAAGAACTGAAATTATCCCATGCATATTATCTGACCACAGTGTAATGAAATTGGAAATTAATGACAAAAGGAACTCCAAAAACTCCATAAACACTTGGAAATTAAATAATAACCTCCTGAACAAACAAGAAATTAAAGAAGAAATTAAAAAATACCTACAAACAAATGAAAATGTAAATACAACTTACCAGAATCTGTGGGATGCAGTGAAAGCAGTCCTCAGGGAGAAATTTATAGTGGTGAACTCACACATAAGGAAAACAGAAAGAGAACAAATAAATAACATAATGCTGCACCTCAAACTTTTAGAAAAAGAAGAACAAGTCAAGCCCAAAGCCCAAAGAAGGGAGGAGATTATAAAGATCAGGGCAGAAATTAATGCAATTGAGATGAAGAAAACCCTACAAAAAATAAATGAAATAAAGAGTTGGTTCTTTGAAAGAATAAATAAACTTATCAAACAAAGAAAGGAAAGAACTCAAATTCATGCAATAAGGAATGAAAAGGACGAAATTACTACAGATCCTACAGAAATTCAAAAGATCATTAAAAACTACTTTGAAAATCTTTACTCTGATAAGATAGACAACCTAGAAGAAATGGTCAGATTCCTAGATATGTACGAACTACCAAAGTTGAATCAAGAAGATATAAAATCCTGAACAACCCAATATCAATTAATGAGATTGAAAACATCATTAAAAAACCTACTGACAATGAAAAATCCAGGCCCTGATGGATTCACAGCAGAATTTTAGAAGAAATTCAGAGCAGATTTAATACCAACACTCCTCAAACTCTTCACTGAAATTGAAAAGGAAGCAATTCTCCCTAACTCATTTCTGGAGGCAAGTATCATACTGATACCAAAACCAGAGAAAAACCCAACTAAGAAAAAGAACTAGAGACCAGCCTCTCGAATGAATACAGATGCAAAGATACTCAATAAAACACTAGCTACTGGAATACAACAAATCATAAAGAAAATCATCCACCATGACCAAGTTAGATTCTTTACAGGAATGCAGGGATGGTTCAATATTCACAAATCAATAAATGTTATATACCATATCAATAGATCCAAAGACAAAAACCACATGATCATCACAGTAGATGCAGAAAATGTGGAAAAGGACATTCTTTAGTTAGAGAAAGCACTGAAGACACACAATGATTTGTTTATTGTTTGTTAGCATTTCTTAAGATAAGGTTTCACTATACAGCCCATACTGGCCTTGAGTTTATGATCCTCTGGACTCTGCCTCCTGAGTACTGGATTACATGTGGAGAAGGACATTCTTTAATTACTCTTTCAATGTATTGCCTCAGGCCTGATCAAGCCATGTGATTGTTTAGTTCTGGAGGAAGTCTAGCAAAAGCATGGGTGGAAAGGATAAGACTGCAAAACCTGTATCCTTGTGGAAAGCTGTGAGGTCAACAATAACTGCTTTACTAAGACATGCCCAAAAAATGATAACATGATTGCTTACTAAGTCAAGTCTCATACTTATGATAATTGAGTTGTATTGTCCTTGCTAAGATGTTTGATATCTGCCCATTTGTACTGCCTACTTCCTTTGTTTTCTCTAAATAAAAGGTGACTGAGATTGGTAATCTAGGCTGCAGTCTGAGAGGTTGTAAGCCCCCTGATCCCAGAATTTTGTCTCTCTTGTTTCCTTGTTTCTTTTACTTTTCTTTTCATCTGAGGGTACCTCATTCTTGGGACCTGTCACCCCTGCACAGAAATGGAATAGAGAACAACAAGAAAAAGCTTTTGACAAAGCCCAACATGCATTCATGATAAAAACCCTACAACAATAGGAATAGATGGACTTTACCTCAATCTGATCAAAGCCATCCATGAAAAACCAACAGCCAACATCATACTAAATGGACAAAAACTGAAAGCTTTTATTTTAAAATCAGGAACAAGATAAGGATGTCCACTGTCACCACTCCTATTCAAATAGTTCTGGAAGCATTAGCCAAGGCAATTAGACAAGAGAGAGAAATAAAAGTAGTAAGAATAGAAAAGGAAGAAGTGAAATTATCACTATTTGCATATGACATGATATACTACATGGAAGACCCCAAAAACTCCACAAAGAGACTCCTTGAATTAATCAACAAATTCAGCAGTGTAGCTGGATACAAAGTCAACCCTCAAAAATCAATAGCGTTCTTGTACACAAACAACAAACAGACTGAGAAAGAAATTAAGGAAACCATATCTTTCACAATAGTATCCAAGAAATTGAAATATTTAGGAATCAATCTAACAAAAGAAGTAAAACATCTATGCAATGAAAACTACAGTACTCTGAAAAAAGAGATAAAAGAGGATTTCAGTAAATGGAAAAATATTCCTTGCTCATGGATAGGAAGAACCAACATTGTGAAAATGGCCATACTACCAGAATTGTTGTACAGATTCAATGCAATTCCCATTAAACTACCATTAGCATACCTCACAGATCTAGAGAAAACATTCTGTAAATTCACCTGGAACCAGAAGAGACACAGAATAGCAAAAGCAATCCTGGGCAAAAAAGACAAGTCAGGAGGAATGACAATGCCTGACCTGAAATTATACTACAAAGCTACTGTAATAAATTCAACATGGTACTGGCTAAAAAACACACTCAGACACCTAATCTTTGACAAAGGGTCCAAACAAACTCACTGGAAGAACGATAGCCTCTTTAATAAATGGTGCTGGAATAATTGGCTTACCACCTGCCCAAGACTGAAAATAGACCCAAGTCTATCACTATGCACCAAACTTAAGTCACAGTGGATCACAGATCTCAACGTTAGAACAGAAATACTAAATCTACTGGAAAAGAAAGTAGGTAGAAGCCTTGAAGACATAGGGGTAGGCAGAGAGTTCATGAGCAAAAACCAAACTGCATGTGAAATACTTCAAAGATTCAACAACTGGGATCTCATTCTACTGAAAAGTTTCTGCACATCTAAAGAAATCAGCAGCAGAGTAAAAACGAAACCCACAAATTGGGAAAAAATTTTAGCTGACTGTCCCTCAGTCAAAGGTCTTCTATCTAGAACTTATAAAGAATTAAAGAACATCAGCCCCCAAATTCAAAGACCCAATCCAAAAATGGGCAGCTGAGATGAATACACACTTCTCAGATAAGGAAATACAAATGGCAAATAAACACATGAGAAAATGTTCAACATCATTAGTCATTTGAGAAATGCAAATTAAAGCAATATTGAGATTTCATCTTACCCCAATAAGAATGGCTAGCATTAAGAAATCAACCAATAACAAATGCTGGCGAGGCTGTGGAGAAATAGGAACCCTTCTCCACTGCTCTTGGGAATGCAGACTGGTGAAACCACTGTGGAAGTCAGTTTGGAGATTCCTCAGCAAACTAGGTCTAGAGGTCCCATTTAATCCAGCCATTCCTCTTCTGGGTATTTTCCCAGAAGAACTGAAAACATCATCTCACAGCAATATATGTGCACTCATGTTTATAGCAGTGCAATTAGTAATTGCTAAATTGTGGAATCAACCCAAATGTACATCCACTGAGGAATGGATTAAAAAAATTGGGGTATTTTTATATAATGAAATATTATTCAGCTATAAAGAAAGATAAACTCGAGGCTTTTATAGGTAAATGGTCACAACTAGAGACCATACTCATAAGTGAAATAGAGCAAGCCTCCATGTGTAAGCAACATATTGTCTCACTAGTATAAAAACCTGAAAGTGTGAATAAAAATTAAGAGGTATGATAGACATTGTACATGAATAACAAAGTCTAGAAAGAGAAATTGGGAAACTGCTTAAAAGTAAAGAGCAACTGGGATGAGGGAAAAGAGAAAAGAAAGAAGGGGAAATTTTATATATATATATTTTATATATATATTATTTATATATATATAGTATTTATATATATTTTATATATATATATAGGATAGCTAACATAGTTGTACTACTGACTTCTATTCCATAGTGAAAGGAACAGTTAATGATTAATTATTTGATCCATCTTGCATGTCTCTATTTGTTTTCTTCTTGCATGTCTCTTGTTTTCATCTTGCATGTCTCTATTTGCTGAGAAGCCACTTTGAAGATAGCAATATGTAATATAACAACCATTGTTAATTTCCTCCCACTTTGTCTGTAATTCAGTACTGCTTGTGTTGCTCCTATGCTATATTATAAATGGACATCTATTTGTTATCACGTTTTCCTTCTTTGGTCATTTTCAATATACTGGTTCTGCCTGTTCAAGAGCAATGAATATCTCCATTTTCTGATACCCCACTTGATCCCTCTTTCAGTCTGTAGGTGTTTCAGTTCTTTTGTGAGGGTGATTCTGAAGCATTTCATTTTCTTGATGCTATTTCAAAAAGAGTGGTTTCCCCAATTTCTCTTCTAGACTTTGTTATTCATGTACCGAAATACTATTTATTATATGTTCAGGGTTGATTTTGTAGCCTGCTATGCTGCCATATTTGGCTCAGAATTCTAGAAATCATTTGATGCAGTTTGAGTTCTTCTATGTACAGTGTGATGTCAACAGCAAATAATAATTTAACTTCTTCCTCTTCTATGCATATTCATTTTCTTTCATCTTCTTATCTAATTGCTCTGGCTAATATTTCCATATCTATATTGAACTATTAAGCTGATACCTTTAGCCACAGGAACAAATTCTAGTTACACAGCAGAATCCACCATATACCAAGAACTTGTATGCAATGATTTTCTCTTTAAATAATTTAAATAATTTTAAATAATTTTTAAAATATTCTTTAAATAATTTAATCTTGTTGCAGGGGAAGAATTAAGAAGGATGGGGCAATGTAGAGAGATTAATGAGGTTCATTATAGTAAGAGCAAAGCTGGAGGGCAAAGGATGATCACCCAAGTTATGGGAAACTGGAAGACATGGGAGGGAAAGAACGGAAAACAGAGGACTATTGAAGTGAACCAGGAAGAGAAGAGACAATGTTTATTCACATGAAAGTATTATAAAATCAACTGAGATAGTTCACAAAAGAGAATAAGAAGACAAGTAGAAAAAAACAAAAAGGAAGGTAATATATCTAAGTCATAAAAGAAAAAGAGAAAAAAGAAAACAAAAATAACCATGCAAAACTCAACTCAACTAAACTAAAAACTAAACTAAGCTAACCAAAAAAAAAAAAAAGACCCTAACTGACAGTAAAAGGAAAACCAATCGAACAGAGACAATAATAAATGTAGTAAAATTTCTCTGGTGTCCCCAGTTCTTTGTTATGCCCAAGTTAGATCCCAGAAATGTGTTGTATACTCCAGCCAAGTTTGCAGTGGGATTTGTGCTGGCTACCAGGTTGATCTTAGCCTCTGAATGTGTGGGCTGGGGCTGACATTCTATTTATGGAGTTCTCCCTGAGTCTTTTGATTATAAAAAAGAATGGTGACCCCACCCACCTGCTTGTGTTCCACATTTCTGTACGCCAAAACACAGTGCTGGTTCACCTCTGGGCTGGTCCAGCTGCATGTGCTGGGTTTTCCTTTATAAGTAACTTGTTTCTATTCTCTAGGAGATTTTAATATTCTGCTCTTGCACTGAATTTGTGGACTCTTGACTATTATGTGCCTTGCTGTGATTTTTTTCTCATCCTGGCTGATTGGGTTTCTATATGCTTCACTTATCTCTATGTGAGATTCTTTTCCCATGGCTGGGAAGTTCTCCTACTATTACTACTCTGAACAGGTTTTTTACAACCTTTTTGTTGTCTTCTGATTTTTTTCATTGATCCCAATTAATTATATTATTCTTCTTTGCATCATCCATGAGTTGTTGGATTAATTTTTCATGGTCCCTTACTACTTTTAAGAAAGTTTTCACCTGATGATTGCCAACCACTGACCTGTCTTTATATTCTGTCTTCACATTGAGTGATTGCTGAATATGCTTTCAAAAGAAATTCTGTTTGTATCTATGGCATCCTATACTTTCCTATGTTGGGCATCCTCATTTCCCTAAGCTCTTCAAGTTTTTTCTGTATCTACTTTAGATTCACTGCTTAGTTCCTTTATTATGGTCCTCATTTCTTTAGTTACCTATGTGATTATTTCTGATCTGTTTGCATATGGGTTTTTAATCATCTGTTTTGTTATTTCTCTTGCTTCCATTTCATAAAATTCAGGTGGAAGTTTTTGATTTCTTCCACCTCAATGCCCTCCGGACTTGTATGAGTGAATTAGGTGTTTTAGATGACATCATTATTTTGTGTTTTTTCATTTTCTATTATTATTTGCATTTGTTTTCCACAGTTAGTCTTGTAAGTTGCTTAATGTAGTTAATTTTATTAGTAATATCAAGACTTCTTTAGGTAGTGACTACTTTTCAAAGCTGTCTTCTAGGTTTAGCTGGCTTTTGGCCTTTGAGTCTGTCTCAGAATCAGACCTCCTCTGTGTATTAGGTGTGAGAAGTTGCAGCCAGTTTGGTGTAACACCCAGTTCTTTGGTACTGGGTATAGTATTATTAATTTTTTGTCTGGTTTTGTTTTGCTTTTTTGAGACAGGATCTCCCTATGTAGTTCAGGCCAGCTTTGAACTCACCATGTACTCATGCTGACCTCCAACTCACAGTGATCCTTCTGCCTCAGCCTCTAAGTGCAGGAATTACAGGCATGCACCACCATGCATGGCTGTAGTATTTCTTATTGCCCCCAGACAGTCTAGGTATTGGCATTCAAGGAGGATCAAATGATCACATCAGCTGTATCACCTTGGCTACCTTAGTAAAATCACTAATAACTACAGTATCAAAAACAAACTAAAAAATGAAAAACCATAATACTTTGTAATCTTTAACCATAGGTACAAGATTTATAGCTATTTAACAGAATCTAAGACAAATCACAAAATTATATAGAGTAGCTATCCTTTCAACAGAGCAATTAACCCCTTTTCAAAATAAAGCAGTATTCAGCCATAGTAAGATGCAGTTAACTATCTATTGATTCATAAAGGTAAATGATACAGGTATGAAAGTATGAAGAAAAAAGAGCAAAAAAGATAGATTATGAATAAAAAGCTGTGGTAGATGTGAGCAATGAGGTAATATTGAATAGGATGTCCACTTAAGGAGTAAAGGGAATTAATGGTAACAGCAACAAAGCCAACCTCCTAAAAGAATGTTAGGTAATAGGGAGTGAGGAAAAAGCTAGATAAAAGAAAATATGAAAAAAGTAATAGAACTAGTTGAGAGAAAGTGAAAAAATAAAAGAGAAGGAGAATAAAAGGGGGGCTATTCAAACATATAAACAAAATGATATTGAAATGGGAGGAAAAAGATAATGTGTGGTTAAATTACAACCTCTGCCAAAAGCACTTGATCTTAGCCAAAAGGTCAAGAAGTGATTGTTAAAAGCAAGAAAAGGTGAAAAATAAAAAAATGTACCAATAATAGAGCAAAAGGTTCTGAGTACAGACTCAAACCAGAGCAGTGTTCCTGCTGTTGATTAAATATCTGAGTTTTCTTGTGATAAACTGCAGGCTCCCAGTAGTGACTCATGTAGGCTTAGGGTCCAATATTGAAGAGTAACAACATTTGCTTGTTTATCTGCTCAGGGTCTGACAATGCATGGCTGGGTTGGGAGAGGGAGCAGCCCCCTGGTCAGTCTCTCCTTGTGTATGCTGGCAAAAATGTTGCAGGCTCTGATGTGCTCTGTTTAGACATGGAACAATGAAGCAAGGGGCTATATATCCAATGTCTGTCCTCTGTGCCATGCAACTTGGACCCCACCAGCTATGTGGGAGCTTCTCTAAATGGCAGTTACTGTGTTGTGTGCAGGCAGTGGCTCTGAATAGTTGTTTTGGGCTGCTTGGACTCTTTTCAACTCCTATGCATATGTTTTGATTGATCTACAAGTCTCTTATTTCAAATTGATTTTTTTGCATAAGAATGTCCCTTACTTTCTTGTAATTACCTGTATTTTGGGTTGATCTTCTCCCAGACTCTCTGACATGACTCCTCCTCTATTCAGCTATTGCTCTCTCACTTATTCAACTCTTGTCTGTCCTCTATTTTATCACTGTTATTAAAGACCAAATAAACTACACCAGTGAAGTGATTCGCCTAAGTTTGTGGGCCCTGTTGGCATTTCTGAAGGTTTTTCCTAATGTCTTGAGCTGACTGACCAATTACACAATACCTGATAACAATCTGGACTTCTGTAGACTCGGAGTCCAATTTCTGTATTTATGGAGTTCCCCTTTAAACTGAGCTGAAAAGCAACAAGGTTTTTATCAAAGCCTTGACTAATAGCCCTGAGTTTCCTTTAGTTCACAAGTTTGGGCATCCCTTGCTGCATACCTGTTAAAATGGCCTTGATATATAACTTTCATTTGGTTTCTCCACCTCCCGTGTTATAATCCTACTCAGGCCTCTTTTGGACACCAAAAAACACAGAAGTTGGATGATTACTAGAGGGTTCAGCTGTGAAAAGCTCATCATTAGCCATGCATATGTAATCTGATGATTAATCTGATAATTCATTTTTGATCTTCAAAACTTTCCAATCTAGTTTTCCATGTGTCATTGTACTGAACTGAGCTGCTTCTACCAGAAAAATCAAAAGAAAACCTTCTTCAACAAATCATGGGGTGGTATGGGTCTATTAGACCCTCTCTTCTGCTTGGATAAACATAAATAAACCAGTTAGCTGAAGCATAAAGGTGGGTCCGATTCCCATTTGACACATTTGCACACATGCACACTACTTGCTGTTCATCATTCCAAGTGGGGTAAACACATAGATTGCTTCCTATATCCCTCCGGGAACTGTACGGAGATGCACAATGGACTACTATCATATTAAGTTCAAATTTACAGTAGAAAAGTAAGAGATGGGCATGCTGAACCCAGTCTTAAGTTTTAACAACAGGGCATGGTAACACTAGGAGATGCCCTAAGAGATCTCCTGCATTCCAAGCATATTCTTCCTTCCCTCCATTGTGAAGTAATTGTCCAATTTCCACCCCGATGATCTGGGTTAATCACCCTTGCCAACACTCTAACTTCTTTTTGAGATTGTTTACTCGAAAGTATGAGGAGATCAAAATGACCAGAGGGGGGAGTCTTACCTTCCAGTTCAACGGTATCATTGCTGTGTTGCCTGGTACAAGCCTTTCCCTCCTGCTTGGGAACTAGAAGCAAAAATTTTCATAGTGGATCACTGGGGCTAATGATGAGTGATATTATTTCCATTTCCATCCCTTGATTCCTGAATCCATGAATACTGACTATGGAAAAGAAAATGTCTTATAATAGATGCTGGCTTGAGACATATACAGCCTTTTGAAGAATCTTGCCCCAGCCCTGCAAGCTAATGCCACCTAGGTAGCACAGTACTAGTGTCTTCAAAAGACCATTCTATCTTTTGATCAATCCAGCCACTTCTGGATAGTGAGGAATATGGTAAGACCAGTGAATTCCTTGAGTATGAGCCTATTATCTCACTTCTTTGGTCATAAAATGAGTTCCTTGATCAGAGACAATGCTGTGTGGAATTCTATAATGGTAAATAAAGCATTCTGTAATTCCAAAGATGGTAGTTTTGGCAGAAGCATTATATGCAGGGAAGGTAAATCCATATCCATAATATGTGTCTATAGCAGTAAGGGCAAAGCATTGACCTTTTCATGATGGAAGTGGTACAATATAACTGATCTGCCACCATGTCACAGGTTAATCACCCTGGAGAATGGTGCCATACCAGGGACTCAGAGTTGGTCTCTGCTCCTGGCATGTTGGGCACTAAGCAGTGAAGTGGCCACATCATCCTTGGTGAGTAAGCGTCCATGTGGCTGAGCCTGTGCATAACCATCCCCGCCACCATGGCCACTCTGTTCATGAGCCCATTGGTCAATGACAGAGTGGACAAAAAAGAGGTTGAGCACTATTGACAGAACAGGTACTCTTATCCACTGATTGTTAAAGTTCTCTTCTGCTGAAGTCACTTTCTGGTGAGCGTTTCTTTTGCATACAAATATTTTTACATCCTTTCCCCACATGGAAAGTATTTATGGAATATACTTTCTGGTGGGCCACATGCCCAAATATCTTTGAAACCAATTTTCAGGTCATATTTGTTCCAAGGTTCTGACTTTCAGACCAGACCATTGGCTACAGCCCATGAATTATATAAAATCATATATCTGGTCATTTCTCCTTCCAGGGAAAATATACTATCATGTGCTTTTCTCAGAGTTATGGACACTGTGAAGATTTCCCTTAACCACTGTCCAGAAATGTCCACAAAAGGGGCTGTTATGGTACACTGTCTACTTGGGGGTAGTGCCAGCATAAAGAGGAGAACCACCTGTAAACCAGACCCTAGCCTAGTCTTCCTCTGACAGCTGATCATATGGTACACATTATGAGGCCATAGGTGCATCCTGGGAAATGAAAAGCAATAGGGCAGGAGAATGAGCCACTGGCATCTGGGCAACTTCTTCCTGTAACTTGCTTGTACCCTCTGGACCTGCTCTGGCTCAATTATGTATATACCATTTCCATTTAAGGATGAACTGTTGCTGTGTATGTCCAACCTTATTATGCAGTGGATTAGATAATACCCAGCTTATGATAGGCAACTCAGGTCACATGGTAACCTGGTGTCCCATGGTCAAGTTTTTTGTTTCCATTAAGGCCCAGGAGCAGGCCAAGTACTGTTTTTTTTTTTTTCTTTAAAGGGAAAGTTGTCTGCACCTGATGGCAGAACCTTGCTTCGAAATCCTAAAAGTCTCCACTGAAATTCACATGTGAGAGCCTGCCAGAGACTCCAAAGAGCATCTCTACCGGCCACCAACACCTCAAGTACCATTGATTCTGCTGGATCATATGGCCCCAGTGGCAGCACTGTCTGCACAGCAGCCTGGATCTTTTGCAGAGCATTTTCTTATTCTAGGCCCACTCAAAATAAGCAGTTTTCCAAGTCATTCAGTAAATGGGCCGGAGTAAAACACCTAAGTAAGGAATCCAAATGCCCAGCAGGCATTGTGCCTCTTTTTCACTGTAGGTAGAACTAGACACAGTACCTTATCTTTTACCTTAGAAGGGATAGCTCTACATGTCCTGCAATGCTGGACTCCTAGAAATTTCACGAGGTAGAAGAATGGGGCTGGAGGGGAGGGGTTGCCCCTCTATCTTTTAGAACAACTCAGCAAAATAAAATTCTGTTTTTTTGTTGGATAACATTATTTCACACATACATCAAACAGGTCAAAAAAAATATAAATAAGTAGCAACTTCATACACAAAAAAAAGGAAAAAAGAAACTTTTATCTTTGGCCTTTTTAACCATCTCATACAAAACAGCTACTTATAGTACAGCTAAATACATACACAAATAAAGTTACTGGAATGCTCGGAATAAGATTGTGTTTTTTGCTGTTGTTTTTGCTTTTCTTTGCAAGGTTTTTCTCTCCTTTGAGATTATCATGAACATGGTCACAGCCCAAGTAATGTTGGAAGTGGGACAGAGAATGCTCTGAAGGCTGGTCTGGTCACCTGTGATCATCAAAACTGGCTGACCCCTAACAACATGTACAAAAATATAAAATGTAAACAAAAATACAAATATTCCTTTTTAAAGTACTTTTAAGAAAAAACGCAAGGCCTTGAAAGTTTTGGTTCCTTTTCTTTCCTGTTGCAAATTTGCACTGTGGTTTTGGTGGGGCGGTGGAGAGCGATGGATCAGCTACTGGGGGGACTACTGGACACTGGTTCTGAAAGAAGGTAAGGAGCACCTGAAGCCTCGCACAGTGGTAACTAAATGCTGGTATGCAAATGATCTAGCTAGTTAAGTGTTACTAACAGCCTCAAAAAGGAACCATTTTTGATTTGACATTTTAATTCTAGTAGACATAAGAATTTGCCTGGGCACACAGTCCTGTCACCTGATGGTGGCTGGATACTGGTCCTTCATGTATGCTTTGCATTGGAAAGCAGACCCAACTTTGGAGCACTTGCCTTATTTAGGTTCTGAATTTCCTTGAATTTTGGGTGGTCTTTGTCAGCAACCAGCTATAGCACAACAGCTTCATTCATGGTAACTATAATCCAAGTTTGAGCAAGATGCTCAAGAACAAACATCTTGTCCATCAAGTTTCTTGATGGGGTGGCATCAGCAACAATATGAACTTTGATACCTCAACCAGCAAGCTCCAGAGCCATCTGTTGGATGTACATATGAGTTTCTACTGCACGTAACACAGCACTCCTGACTCCAGAAAACTCTGCTAATGCTGCTTCTACTTCTGGTAATGCAAGAACTTGCTCTTTGGAAGTACCAGTTTTACACCTGTTTATCAGTTTCTTGAACAGTGCTTCCAACAGTTTTAGGATATTGTTCTGTTACAATAACTGCAATTCCTAAAATCTAGGCACCTAGCCACAATCTTTTCCCACACTTATACTTATCACCAAAATACTTGATGGATGATTGGAGCCTTTCCTGCATATCACAGCAGAAAAATGGTGCTTGAAGGTGTAAGATTTCCCAGGGTAGTGAGCTGGATCTGCCATGGCACGTGGGGCATCTTGCAGGGCTCACTCACCTCAAAGCGCTTGAGCAAGTCCACACACTGGCCCCACTCCTCAGAGAAGAGCAGCACAATGAATTTACAGTGCGTGTCCATCTGGCTACTGTACAGTGTGAGGAACTTCTGAATGGGAAGCTCATAGCCCATGCTATGTGGACACCTATAAGAGATACATGAAGAAAAAGCTGGAGAAGAAGAGCACTGAGATGGTGCCTAAAGGTGCCCAAGTGCCCACTCCACTGCTGCCAAGAATAGCTGTGACCTTGGGCTCTGCCACCACCAGGTTCCCCCCGAACATCTGGTAACATCACTTCTAAAGAGTTTGTTTATATCTGAGAATTTATGTAACTTAAAATAAATCAGTTTTATTGCCACCTGAGGTACTATGGGAAACGTAGTTCAGAAGTGAGCTCAATTCAAAGAGTGCACTGATAAATTGCTCTGCCCCTTTAGCACAGCTGTGCTGCCTGTATTCTATGTGATCAACAGGCCTCATCAGACCATGCTCAGAATCAATCCTACGTCAGAACAGGCAAACCATATATGTTTTAGATTTTGAGACAAAAAAAGCCTCTTATTAATTGCTCTTATAAGAGCAATCTTATATGAGGTGGTTTTTTGTCTCAATAGCTAAAAAATGTAGCTTATTTTTCACCAGTATCAGACATTATAAAAATCATATATATTTTGAAGTCTTTTCATAAATGCTGTGATTATTTGCTCAACATGCTTAGTGAATGCCTAAACTACAATAGGCTACCAGCACTCTTCACTTAATGACCAATGAGTAGGTCACTAAATGAGGAATTGTATATAGTGTAGATTGGACATATATTCAGAACAAGAAAATTGTCAAAGAAAACAACTCTATGACTTTGATTTTATTTGCCTATCTCTTACATACAGTACCGTAATGTATAACCAAACATAAAGCTACAGCACTGTACTACACAGTACAATCAGCAAAAATGGAGTCATGATCTTCATTTCTTTATCTGGTCACTTACCCTTTCCTCTCTGGTCCTGTTCCCCTGCTCTGCGTTTATGCCAGTAAGAACTAAAAAGCTTTGCTCTGCACATATTTTGTGATGTTGCTGTTTGGGGGCCAACCAGCCATGAACTGAATAACACATAAACAATTAGTCCTATGCCAAAAACATATGGAGGCTCTTAACTGAATGACCAAGGTCCTTCATCTCAGTGAATATTTGTAATGAGAAGTGGCAACTGAGATAAATACCAGAAAGTCAGAAAGTGAAATGAACACACCAATCCTTCCCACATGAAAGCACAAACATGTTTAACATCTCAACCATGAAGGAAATGCAAACTGCAACCACAGTGAGGTTCCCCTTTACAATTTAAAGTAGCAAGTGTTGGTAAGGGTGCAGAGAAATGGAACCCTTACACATGCTGGAGCCTTTATGTGAAATATTTTGGCATTTCCTCAAAAAGTTGAATATAGATTTACTATACCACTCAACACTCCCATTCCTAGGTAGATGCCCAAAAGAACAGGAAGCATGTATTCAAATGGAAGTGGGCGTGTTCCTCACATTTGTCAAGGTCATGGCAATACAAAAGTCCCAGCATGAGTTCCAGAAAAGAAAACTGGATCCAAATGGAAAGAAAGAATTTTATCTCTGGAAAGAGATGCGGTGAAAGTGGAAGGGATCTAAGGATTGGCTCTTCACACTGAAACCCCTAAGTTTCCTAACATGGGGGCTCTGTGGTGCTCACCTAGGAGTGAGTCTGCATTGGGCAAAATCCATGGTAGTGTTTCACATAGACTTGCAAATCTGGAAAAGCAATAAGTATTGGAGAAGGTGAGTGAATAAATGAAGGTTACTTCTTCACATGATTGCAGGTGACTTATAACTTTGAAAGTATTGAGAAATAAAGTACTTCTTACAATATCAGTGTCAATATCATGCCGGAAAAGAAACATCAAACTTCACTTTACTGGCTAAGTTGATTAGTGAGCTTTGTCACTGTGGAGACACGGTACCTGATATCCACAACTACACAGCGGGAAGCTCACGTCTGGAGGGTTGCGTTCATGGTGTATGGCCCCAAAACAGCAACATGAAGCACGCGGCAGAGCAAAGCTTTTTAGCTCTTACTGGCATAAGAGCAGAGCAGGGGAACAGTACCAGAGAGGGTAAGTGCCCAGCTAGAGAAACGAAGGTCACACCTCCATGTCCCATGCAGACACACCCACAAGTGTACACCACCAATCTCCTGGGTACATCTCAAAGCCAATCAAGGTGACACTGCACATTAACCGTCATTTACATGACACTGACTATACTGTGTTGTTTGTTAGTATACATGTAGTTCAGCATTAAGTAGTGTTGTTAATCCCTACCTGTACAAAACTTATCAATTAAAATTTTATCATAGCTTTTTATGTAAGCTTTGAGGCTGAGTATTAAACTTACGCTATGTTTCAGCCAATTGAGTTATGAAGACCTGTGTTTGGGTGTCTGCAAATTCAGCCCTGTGGCTGATGGGGAGAAGTACAGTTAGAAACTTAAATATTTTATGTGTGTCCAGAGTTTGGCATATGAATCTTTCAGCTCCTATTTTCATTTATTAATTTGTCTTCACAGTTAGAAGACTTTAGACTTTCTATAAATATTTTGAACTCATTGTTTTCTGTCACTAGTTTGTCCAGAGATGTTAAGAGCAAATAGGCAGGATCATTATATTTCCCACTCTACCAAAAGTATTTAGAAATTTCATATATGGAGTTACTAAATTCATTACATTTCACAAGTGGTGAACTAGGATAATCAAATAGATTTATATTGTGTATTAGATTAAACCATTCACATCAAGAACTATCATTATTCTTCACAGTATCAGGAGAGACCAGAGTGTCATTTAGTCTCATCAATTTAAAATTTTTCATTTATTCATTATTGTTATTATTGTATTTTGTACTGGGGATTGGTCTTGTGACCTTGTACATGCTGGGCAAGTGCTGTGCCACTGAACCACAAGCCAGCTCCATGGTCTCATCAAATTACAAAGCCAAATCCAAGAACCCTTAAAGTCATTAAAGAATTTCATCTTTACAATTCTGTTTTTCTAGAACCACTTGTCACTAAAATTTGTTTTAGTTACTTTTCTCATTGATGAGACAATACACCCAACACCCACAAGTTAAAGGAGGAAATGTTTATTTTGGTTCACAGTTTGTAGAAGTTTCAGGCCATAGCTGGCTGGCTCTAAGGCAAGGTGCATGACAGAGAGGCACTGCAGTGGAGTAGCAGTCCATGACATGGTTAGACAGACAGAAGGCAGCAAAGCATCCAGCGACAGCACCAGGCTTCTTTCTCTTTTATCCCTTCCAAGCTACCTGCCTTTTGGCTGGTGCCTCTCACACCCATGATGAGCCTTCCCACTATCCACACAGAGAGCTATGTATATCCAATCAGTGGATCAATTTAGTAATCATACACCCTTAATCCCAGCCTCACACAATTTAATCGCAGCATCAGAAACTCTAGATCCAGCCAGGTCTGAGAATCCCAGCTTGTGAGCACATGAGGCTTTTTTTGTACACCTAGATACAAGCCATATCAGTTTACTTTGATGCAACAGGGAAATGAGTTACACAGCAAGAGAAAGTAAAGTATAGTAGTAAAGTATAGTATAAAGTATACAGAAAGTAAAAGACATTTTTGGCAAGGGATGGGTCAATATGTTCTGCTCTCCCACCTGGGCATCTGATGCATATCTGAACTTACTGGACCAGGTGGTGCTAATTACAGTATAATCTCAATTTCCTTTCATAGCTTAGGGAGAGACGTAAGCCTGGTCAATATGTTTCCATCTTGTACCTCCAGACACAATCTCTCTCTCCCTCTCTCCCTCTCTCCCTCTCTCCCTCTCTCCCTCTCTCCCTC